TTTAAAACTAAAAGTACTTATAGCTAAAAATAGAAATGCAAAGTATATTTTCATTTATGTAAAGACTAGCAGTGGGATCAAATGGTAAGACCTAAAGTGAGCTATCATCCAAGTGTCATTTAGAATCGAGTTCTTGTCTTGTACAAATCCTGTATGTCCTTCTGTTATATATTCAGTTTTCTGGATTTAAACCTGTTCTACAAAGTATACATTACCTTTAAAGTGACATAAAGTAATATGCCCCTTTCGTGTGATCTTGTCAGGAAACAGAAGCCATCTGATAAAATTTTCTATCTCTAAGTATTTGCTTTCAAACCAATACAACATAAAAAGTAGTGTGTTTTATGTTTAAAGACCCACCATAGATGCACTCACATGTTTCTCAAAAAGCCCAGGTATCTAGCAAGAAATGGACTTTTGACAGAGACAGTGTAATGGCTCCTGAGTCCCTCATCTTTTGCCTTAAAAGTAACAAGTGAGGTTGAATCCATCTGGGCTAGGGATGATAGTCTGTTAGCATTTACTCTTGATGTTGCATGTCAGCCATGGCAAGGCCTCAGTCTTTCAAAGGCTTTAATGCTTGGTAGAAGTTTCTGCACTTGTTGAAATGAATTTATAGTCAAATGGCCTGATCTTCTTGTTCTTTACATGGATTCTTATTTCTTATGGCAAAAACACCAGGATTAATCAACTGACACATTTGACATATGGAAAAGCTTTGCAATAATCATGTAGAATAGGGGTTTTCTTCTGCTTTAAACAAAAATGTTTACAGTGTACAGTTCTTTTTCCATCACACAGAATATTTTATTTTTCTCTTATTTCCCTTTCCTCTTCCTAAACTATTGTTACATGTTTGTTTGTTTTTTTCCTTCCTTCTTTAATGTCAGCTCATTTCTCCCTTTTATTTCTTTCCTCTTTTTAACATTATCATCATACCTTCATGGACAAAAGAAAATATAATATTTTGGATAATGTAATGTTCAAACCTTGATTAAACATATATTTTTCAACCAATTACAATAATGGTAATCATTATTTTAATTTCAAGTTTATTTTTATTTTAGACCTTTAGACAAACACTGAAACCAAAGCAAATCATGAATATATGTCTATTGTTACAAGTCTGCTCCTTTTAAATCAACTGTCCTTAAATTTATAAATTGATGGAAAGAAATTTCACAACCCCTAAATACAATATTCTAGTAATTACTATTATCTTCAAGAAAATTGTCATTATATTTCCCTAAAGCTTTCTGAAAATTTTATCTGAGAAAAAAATCTTGCCCTTAAGGAACTAAATTATCAGAGTTAGAAAAACTAATAGAAGCCCATGCTTTTAGACCTTTCCAAGATGCAAAAATCTTCAGCGGAAGATAATCTTTACATATAATAATTTTAAAGTGTCATTAAAACTACATATCAACAGATTAAAATCATTAATATCAAATCCTTTATGAATACTACATAGAAGTTCTTTATTTGAGATCCAATACTTTTAGAATTGAAGTTGTATGTTCTGATTTTATGGTGGAGAATTTGGAAAGCACAAAAACAACTTAATTTTTAAGTACTTACATGAGTCCAAGAACTTTGCCAAGGCTTTAAAATATGTAATAGCCACAATAAATCTATAACTTCTCTGTTTTGTTGATATGGGAATTGAGAAAAAGATTATGCAAAAATTTTCAGACTCATGTAGTAATTCACCACAATTTAGTGTTAAAGTCAAAGCCTATTACTACCCAAGATTCAATTGACCCTTATACTGAGAACCTACTACAGCTCCCAGTTATGAAGGCTTTATTCAGTTTTTTTATGTTTTCTTACAATTTTTTTTTCCATTAATTAGGACACTGTTGTGCATATGTTTGTTCTTCGAACATTCTAAATGGATAAACGAATGTTTTCAGTAATAGTTAAAGATTAATGAACTAGTTTATGCCTTTCCATAAATCTCTTTATCAATCTACTTTTATAATTGTCTTGAGGGAATTTTCATAATACATATGAAATGAAAGGAAGACAGCTACTTATTATCTTCCATTGTATGGTATTAATGTTTTGTATCACTATGTACATAAAGAAACTAAAAGTGACAGAGAAATGATGTAAATAATCACTGAGAAAAGTGAGGCAGAAATAATGATTGATTCCTGATATTTAGAAAGCAATATTTAAAAATCCACTGTAAGGCTAAAGAGATTTATTATCTTTTGTCTTTCTTCAATTATTAAACTGAATTGAAGCAATGTAATTTCTGATTTATGCATATTGTATGACTAATTTTGGCCTAGACATAAAGGAACATTTCTCTCAGCTCACAGTCTTTTAGTATAATTAATTTATTTGCATTTTATAAGGCTATGAACTCAACATATAGTGTGGTCATAAGGAAGAGCATTATCTATTTTCTCTTATGAGAGTATAAAAGTATATAAAGACCTTTTTGTTCCATTAATCATAGCTCTATGCTAGGTGCAAAAGAGGAGAAACATCAAGTGCAAATGATTTCTTCTCCTTTGCTTGCTGATTGTCAAAAATATACTTTAAGAGGTTAAGAAATTCCAAATTCTAAAAAAGATATAGAATTTGAATTAGGAAATTAGCTTATAAGTCAAAACAAAAAGGAAAACACTCTTCTATCATGCACACTGAAGTATGGAATCAGAAAATATTTTCAAATCCTGCTCCTATGTTACTACTTATTAGGCTGTGTCAGTTTTAAAGAAAACTGTTTGACCTCTCTAAGACTCAGTTTATTCACCTGTAAATTCTGAGAGTAACTTCTCCATAGGTTTGCTGTAAGAAGTTAATTCAATATGTCTTTATTGATAAATTACTCAGAATGAAACCTGGCAAATGGGAAGTGTTAAATCATAGTCATACTAGAAACTGGTTATTTATTTGAAAGACAAGAAAGTTGAGGAGTCATTTACAGCTTTCCAGTGTTTAAAATTAGTTTCTGCATGTGGTTTTCAACAAATAAAAGAAAAATAAAAGAACAGTTCCCATTCCATTCACTGTAGAAGGAAGAATTAGATTCTTGGTTGTAAGAAAAATACTCTGTGAAATATGCAAGATGTATTTGTTTGAGGGAGTAGTGATATCAAGTTCCTATAGAGATCTAGATCCTACATTTTTGTTTATGATAGACCCAATTTGTACCATTCCGTTCTATTTTTTTAATTTATGATAATCCTAATTTGCACATTTTCCAAGCACAATTATTAATGATGTTCTTATTTGAATGGTAAAAGATTTGAAGCAGTTTTGTCCTATACACAGTTTGTGTTCTATAAATGCATATCACCAAACTTTATCTTTACTCCTTCCTCAGTAGAAATAAGTGTAACTTCCATATCATTTCAATTAAAACTTGCTTAAAATACATTATTCTAATTAAGAATGAACTAACAATATATTAATCTCTGATAAAATATGGTAAAATGTGTTTTTAATAGTTAAAAATAAATACTACTTACAATTTCTGTTCAGGTATGGCAGGATGTATTATTAAAAATAAATTTTATATATTTATAAATGTACATGCTATATTGTTTATATGTACACTCGTGTCTTCTCTATCACAAAGTACAGAATTGAGATTATTAAAATAAAAACAAAATTGTACTTATCTTTTATTTAAAAAAAACCTTCCTCTCATTTTCCAAATCTCATGCTAATAAAACTTTAATGAGGAAGAACTCATTAGAACTATTTCTTAACCTGAGATGAAACTTTAATACTCTTCTTTTAGTTTTATAATATGTAATTAAAAAACTTAATTTCCAGACATGCTCTTGGAACAAAGAAGAAAGCAACTTCACTACAGTCTACATTTTCCACATCCAGGGAATTCTACAGGATCCAACAGTCATTGTAATGATCCTGCAATATGATAAGATTCTAAACTATTGATGTTGTTTAGAAAATGTTTTAACTGCTTCAAATAACTTAGCAGAGCTAAGTTTCTGTATGCTGTTTATCAATATAAACTGTATATGTGTGTTGTGTGCTCAGTCTTCAGTCATGTCTGATTCTTTGTGACCCCATGGACTGTAGTCTGCCAGGCTCCTCTGTCCAGGGGATTTTAAAGCCGGGAATAGGGGAGTGGGTTGCCATTTCCTTCTCCAGACGATCTTCCTGACCCAGTGTTCAAACCCACATCTCTTATGTCTCCTGAATTGGCAGGTGGTTCTTTACCACTAGCACCACCTCAGAAGCCCTGGATATAACATTACAAAAATAGTTTCAAATAACGAGATTTGACTAATCCTATTGCCATCTACTCATTTAAAGTGTTTCCACTTATATCTGTGAAAGATTGGGGAAATTTCTTATTTTATGTTTTTATACATATATATAACTTAAATGGGGCTTCTCTGGTGGCTCAGTGGAAAAGAATCTGCCTACAGTGTAATGAGATGCAGGTTCAGTCCCTGAGTGGGGAAAATCCCCTGGAGGAGGGCATGGCAACCCACTCCAGTGTTCCTGCTTGGAGAGTTCCCTGGACAGAGGAGCCTGGTGGACTATGGTCCATGGGGTCTCAAAGAGTCAGTACAACTGAAGTGACTAAGCATGCATGCATGTAACTAATAGAGAAAAGGAAAAAAAAAAGTATTAATGTGTATTTTCTAATTTCTTTGCTGATAAAACATACCCAGAAAAATCAATCTCTGTGACCTTTAAAATATAGGTAAATTCCTTATATATTGACATAGACATCTTTGCATAAATTTTAAAAATGAAAAGTGTTTATTTCAAAGGATGGTGATGTCTAATACTTCCATATTAATAGCATTATAATTCTGTGTTATTGGAAATATGTATGTATATTTTCATTGATTGCATCACACCTCAATTGCATCAAATTGCCACTGTAATTTCCATATTTAGATACATCATAGCTAATAAAGTAATAAATATAGACAGATGTAAGATAACTAATTTTGATATACAATATGTACAACACGAAGCATACAAATATATAAACTTACCAATACAGGTAGGTAAGGAATCATTCCATTGGGCCAAAGAATTCGGCACTGTATCACACCTAATTGCAATGGATCCATGGAGAATATATCCTGGGTTACATTCAAAAAGAACCAATGAACCAACTGCAAATTCATTGCCAATCCTTCTTCCAAACCTTGGTTCAGGCACAGAACTGCACTGTGTGGAACTTGTTCTAGGAACAGCTGCGTACAAATAATTGTGGATTTTAATTTCATGTTTGGTAAAGAAATACAGGTTTCAAAATGTGACTATACAAACATTTCAAAGAAATCTTCACTAACTCGAACTTTAGCTAACAATTTGAACATATTTATAAAAGCTTAAAATTTCATACATGATGAAATGAATAAATTCAAAATCAATAAATATTGCTATTGTCATTAAGATTTTTTATTTAAAAACATTTTATTTTGAATTCTTTAAGCAACATCAGTTACTTTCTGTTTTTTGTTTGCCATACCTTTATCAATATAACAATGCAGCTTGAGCAAAGATATTTCAATTTAAGGAATGGTAACAGATACATTTTTTATTTTTCTTTTTAAATTGGAATGCCAAGCATACAAAAAGCAGATGTCAGGTTATGTAAAGCAATGTCAATTTTTTTTAACATTATTTGCTCCCTAAAAACACAGATTTTAAAAAGGCAAAAACAACACTTGATTAATTTCACAGCATATTCATAAACTTAGTTGTTCAAAACATGTTTGTTATTGATGAAGACAATAACTATGTTCAGGCTAAGCAGAACAGAAGTCAGACAGATTAACAACAATAGAAGCTTTAATTTAATAATCATACAATACCAAATTTTAAATTCCTTTTAGGTATGTTCTTCAATTGTGACATTTTTAAAGATAGAATGATAACAGGATGTTTTTTCTTTTTAAAACACATACAGATGGGATTAAGGAGCTTGACAATAGTCCAAAAAATGATAAGATGAATTCCAAATAGATAGATTCCTCTTATGTCACTTGAGTGAAAATAATTTCATTTGTTAGAGTGCCTTTTAAAAATCATAATACCACGCATTGTTACAGAGGAACTATTATTAAGAATGAAACAGTGTGATACTATAGCCAATATTATAATAAGAATAAGAGGGTTTAATAAGAATATCAAATCACAAGTGTTCATAAATTTATTTGGAATAAAGTTCAAGATACATTTGAGAATAACTACATTGAATATATATAATTCAAACAAAATATTCAGATGATAGCTCTTAATTTAGTTTTATATAATGTGGAAGCTTGTCTATTATAAGTGACAAAAAACTATGTAAACTGACTTTGAATTGCACAAAAGTCATGAAGAAAGTTTGAATTCTAAGAGAATGAGAAACTACAATTTTAGAATGGAGTAATGATTTCCTTGGCATGTCTAAGTACCTCAGCACAAAAAGTTTGAACATTCTTAGAGTGCTGGACTATAAGGAAACAGAATATGTAGAGTGAAGCATTGTCAAAAAAAAAAAAAAGACGTTTTGAAAACAGTATGTTAAAAACAAGGAAAAGCATGCAGTTTGCTTGAGAATGACGATGGAAGCAATAGATTTTTTTTTTTTTTTTTTTTATTCTTTTTTTTTTTTTTTTGGCAAAAGAAAATAATTCCATGATTTAAGTTCCGTGATTTTGGCTTTCACAGGAACGAATTAAATCACATTTAAAAACAAGGAAAAGCATGCAGTTTGCTTGAGAATGACGATGGAAGCAATAGATTTTTTTTTTTTTTTTTTTTACTTTGGTCAAAGTAATAATGCTTTAATAATGGGGAAGGGGAAAAGGCAAAACAATTTTTTTTTAAAGCACACAACTTTTATCTGTCCTATATGGTTATGAGGCTCTCATCATTTAACAACTCTGAACATAGCATGGAAACTGATTACATTCCTTAGTGTGTTTCTATGCTACAGGGTCACTTACCTTGATAAACAAAGTGAAATCCCTTAGCTGTTATTGGTCCAACTGAAGTAAATCGAACTGTGATCTGATTACCTGAACTCAGTGGAAGTGATTCTCCTACTCAACAAAACAAACACTAAGATATCATAAATAATTTCATTCAGTAAACCTAACAAGTTATACTAATTTACACTGTCATTTGAAAACATCAATCTATGCTTTATTAAATTACTTTAATATATCTACCACTGACAATATATTATTTTGGGTTCAGCTTCAATTGCAACCTTTCCTTTTTTTTTACTGGAAGGCTTTTATTACATTTTGATAATATTGCCTCATTCTTTAAAGAATCTTTAAATATTACATCAAACACCATGGACAAAGTGACTAAATACTATATTTACTTGATTACAATCCCAGAAAATGGTTATATTTTTATCAAGAGTCTGAATCACTGTTGCGTTTCTATTCTTTATTAAAAAAGTAATGACTTTATGTTCAGTTTACTTTATTTCTAATATGGATGATATAAATCTCAACTTTCACTACATTACCAAAGTCAGTCTTTTATCAATAACTGATGCATGGCAGTTCTAGTAAAGGATACCTGAATGGGATCCTGAGAGGGAAGATAACAGAGAAGATTGCTGAGTTGGCCCATCATACACCTCAACAACATCGTGGAGTGATGTCTGGAAAAATACAAACTGGCCAAACACCACTGATCAACAGGAACCAGGAGAAGCAAACAAATCACCAATCATCCAAAAATGAAACAAAAAACAAACAAACAAACAAAAAATAGAAAGAGGAGGAGAGAGAGAACAAAGTATTACAATATAATAGTCATCTTTCTTTTTTCTATCTTTAAAAGAGGATGTGTGCCAATTGGTTGATATGCCTAACACATGTACTTCAGGTCATAAAAGTAATGAACATGACCTAAATGCAATAAGATGTTAAGAAGACTGTTTTTAAAGTAAATTAAATGGGTATAACATTTAATTTAGCTCAGAAATCATAAGGTTGGTAATTAATAATGTATAGTAACTACTTTTCAATGTTTCCATTGGTAGTTTGATTGTTTTCACTTTGTGACTCTCTTCTCTTTTTCTAATTTTTTCCCCCTCTTTTAGATGACATAGACAGAGTTTCAGTTTAGGGGATTCAGTTTAGATTGCTTTTAAAATGCTATTCAATTATAAGTAATAGTGTTTAGAAAAATATAGCAAGATACTTCTAAGGTACAGTGTTTAATCCACATTCTAAATTGAAAATGATCCCTAAACATTTATTGTTATTCTTCTGCTAAATTAAGGACATATTATTTATCATTTCTAAGCAATTAAGATATTTTAATTTTAATTAAGATATACAATTTTACCAAATTATTGCTTTTTCATGGTAAGTACAGATCTGACACACTTACCAATAGTTTTATATATGCCTCCTTTTAACTTCATTTTGTACTTTTCCTTTAATAATATACTAACTTTACATGCAGAAACTACTCAAACTATAACTTAAAAGGAGGAACCTGTTACAGAGAAGAAATCAACTAGTGTTTTATGTTTTAAAAAAGTGAAATAGGTAATAAAATTCATCCTTAAAACATTTCATTGAATAGAAAAATTGTGGGGTCTAAAAGAGTATGATTTTTTTTAACATTTAATAATGTAAAAGCAAGGCAGCTTTTATAAATTCAAAATCATGTATTGTAATTAAACTTACATTGAACAAATATTTATAAAGTTATTCATATTTTACCCCTTAAATCGAGGTTATGGTTAGCCTACAGTGGTCATATGAATACAGGTTTATTCATTTGAAACATATTGAGTTTTGCATATGAACCCACACCCATGATACTGTAAACAAAGCTACATGTATTTATTTTTGGCCTGCTAAAATAAGCTGGTGATCTCAGTCCAGTTCTTTGTGAGGTAAAACAAAATAAGCACAGATTGAGTGTTACCATAGGATAATTCCTGAACTGTAGAGGGCTGAATTTCAAAAGTGATCCTCCTTAAAACACTATTTCGATGTCATGGAAACAAGTTTATGTTTCTATCAAATCACATACATGTAGCCAATTATTTTAATGGCTTACAACTCTTATGAAAAAATTTCAGTTCAGATCTTTTTTAAAAATCCATATTTGAGTCTACCAAATCCAAAGCTATTTCAAAAATACTCCTAAAAAATATTAAGAAAGTTTTTGTTTTCTGTTTTTGCATTTGTTTAGATTGATGTTTGAATGATCTAATTTCAAATGTGTCTTGAAAAGTTTCTGTTAAAATGAAGATGTTGCTACTGTCTTTCCAAGTGCCCCCTACCCGCTATCCCATCAAAATCAAGGTAGTCTAATCATCAGAACTTTGCTAAGTCAAGTAGTTTGTGCAACAAGACTCTTCGCAGATAACATTCTTTCTCTGTATGCTTATGGGGGTCATTAGGGGAAAATGTCAAAATGCAACATACTTTATCTCTGTCTCCAAAATAGCTCCTGTCTTCCTAAATATCTCAAATAGTCGATGGCTATGCTACCCTGAACAGGTCTGATCTCGTCTAAATATCTCAAATAATCCAAATTTCCAGGCAAACCACTACATTTACAAATAACATATAAAACAACTAACATACACAGTGATCCAAGATCTTTTTCTAAGGAAAAAGGAAAAAATATACTCCCTCTTTTTTCCTCTTTGTAAGTTTCTTATTCTCAATTATTACTTCTTTACAGTAGACTATAGTTTTGTGTCACCTATAAATTGAGTATGTTGAGACTATAGCTTTTAATGACACAGTCAGTAACATGACATACTTACATCATATTAAGTAAAGAAAACTACTCTTTTGAGAGGTATTAGTCTCTAGTTATTGTAATTCTCTGATGAGATTGGGGAGAAATTGAGATGGGTAGGAGATGAGAGAGTTGAGTGTTGAATCTATCTTTCTTTTTTTTTTTTTTTAAATCTTTCTTTATTAAGCAATCAGTAAGCTACTTCTCTTGAACTGCAACCTTACTCTGCAGTAATATGGTCAATGGAAATCTTAAATTAAAAAGTTTTTGTTAGGCAAAAGCTTTGAGAGGGTACTGAATTATTATATGAAAGTGAAATTTTAAGGTACATGTTGAATAAGTGTCTTGTATATGAAAACTCAAGAGCAGCTGCATAGTGATCTGATTTCCTACATAGTCTCAGGTTAACTACTGGCTTACTAAACTGATGCATTACAATTCTGAACCAAATCTCCCCTTCTCAGTCAAA